TACGTTCCCGTGATCGCCATGCCCTTGCCTTTTCTTTCTCGCCCTTTGTTCCCCCTTTGTCATCTTCACTGCCTCGCTCTCGCGCCTTGTCCTTGGTTGCTAAGCAGCCCCTCTAGTATATAAGGACCCCCCTAGGCGCTCCCTAGTCCCCATCTCGACCTCTTGGTCATTGGGACTAGGTGAGTGACCATAGTGTTGTATCTCTCTTCGATTGCTAATGTATAACTTGGTCATTGGGACTAGTCTGTCGCTATCTGCGTGAAGACTAGCTTCGTAGGTCTTGTGCCTTCGTGCCGGCCTCCGCTCTGCCCCGTCGAGTTTCTTGTTGCGTTTATCCCTCTTTCCCTCGCTTTCCCCCTTTCGGCTCCTCGCCGCTCGCCTACGGGGTCGTCGCCGAACGTCGACCCGAGTCTACGCGCCTAGTCGCCGCGACACACCGCAAATCAGGCCTGGTGAAATTGGTGCCTCGGGTGCCCTCGCACGGGAACCTACTCGCAACCGTGGCGAGGGCCCGACAGGAATCCCGCTCTACGGGCGATCCTAGGCATGCTCAGAAGCGGCCTCGCCACGAGGACACACACGAGGACGAAGCTCTCCCTAACTCTCCCTCTCTCCCACGCCCTCAGTCCCCTGAAGAACCCGACAGCACGAACCCTTCTCAGTCCGATCCTGAGGACGTCCCAGGTCGTGAACCCGAGCCCAACAACTCACCACCCCCAGCAGCCCCAGATGTAGAGGACGAAGATGAGACCGATCTCAACCCACCTTCCCTAAGTCTGCACCGTCCAATCACAGCATCGCCTACATCTAGCACGAGCAGCGACAGCGACCACGACAACGGTGATGTAGTCCCCATCGCCGAGCTCCTCAAATGGATGCGGTACGACGTTCCCAATCGCAAGTAAGTGCTTTTCATTTGCGCGTATATGTGACAATCTGACTATATGCGCCATCACTAAAGCTCATCCGCAAGTACAACAAGGCTGCACGCGGCATCGCCCCGATGTACAGCCCGTTCATGCAAGCCAATGCTGCCTTCTCTGTCGGGCTAGACATCGAAATTGAAGGCAACGATGAAGAGGACAACGAAACGGATCCGCGCTCCTGCCGACACAACAGCTATCATCGCGCGGGCAACGAGGGATCTGGCATGTGCGTGAAACCACCTTGGTCTCGCCTGTCCTGCACTGACCTGGGCACCCTCCGCTGTGCTCTCCCTACCTCCATCACTTTTGCGCTTCAATTTTGATGATCTCGCTGACATGCACATTATTATTAGTGGGTACGGATGGAACATCAGCTCACATCACGTTGCATGCGAACACATGCTTTGTGTCATGCCAAATCTCAAGAGCGACCTCGATTACCTTTTGCAGGACCCGGACAGAGTGCGTGACTACAGCAAATATGTGCGTACCAGAACTGGAAACAACTTGTACTAACAAGGCTATGTGTCACAGGTCAACAGTCGGGTTCGCGCGATACGTCGCGACAATTGTGGAAAATTCCGCAACGAGGTTCTCAATTTGATGCGCCATATCCCAGAATTTGCGCACCTCAACATTGTGCATATTGAGAAGACCGAACACGGGTGGAAGAACGACTTGACGGCGCGCCTCCTGTGTCCTATGCAACTGATCCCCAGATTTGATCGTGATCCCGCTCAGTAAGCCCCTATCGTTTGTCTTGTTGATGGCTCGCTACATCTTGCCTAGGTTCCGTGCTGACGTGCGCAATGCCAAGACCGAGATTCATTGCGACGACTTCTTCTCAGCTTTGTATGATACTGACATGCATGATCCGGAGGATTTTCTCAGCGGCCTGTTTCGTGGGCCGCTCCTCCTCAAAGTGAGTGGGTGATATGTCACCCAATGTGCATGCTAACATTGTTCTGCTAGACGTTTGAATGGTTGTTCTGTGGCCGAAAAGTTGCTAGGGGGACACTACAATTCGGCGAGAAGGCATCCGGCAAGGAGCCGTTCCTCGCTGCGTACAAGATAACCCAAATCACACCCCAGATGATTGCCTACGCCGCTTGCATCGTAGGTTGATATGTCGATGCTCACGATGTGTTGCTTCTCACACCTGCGCAGCTCCGATTTGCTCTGAACAGCCAGAGTGAGTGGTCCCGAAAAGACGGCAATTTTGATGTGACAGGTTTCCACACCAACATCGCAATGTCCTTCATCCTCGATGAATGGGCGAATGACACTCTGGCCTGGTGGGACAAATGTGTGACAGCGTTCAATGTCATCACCATATACTGACCGCACCTAGGGCGATTTTTGGATCAGCGAAGGGTGCATCCAGTGCAGCCCCTGTCGCCGCTGGTCCTCGCACAGGCTCCATGGCGGCACAGCTTGCCGATCGGATTGTCGCTCAAGCATCCTCCGGATAAAATGCGCACTGACTCCCAACCAGTGTACGTAGTGCGCACAACATGTGTTTGGCCGCTCACCTGTCGCGCGTTGCAGTCTTCAATATGGCATCGGCATCGGCATCTACGTCAAGGATTCCTCAAGTGCACGGCCCCTCGTCTTCTTCATCTGAGTCGCTCTCGCCTCCGCCTAGTCAGAACAACTACGCTCCCAGGGCCTCTCATCCTTCACTTGCCCAGCCGTCGCCAAATTCGTCACCTGCGAAAGTCGACGACTCTGAGGCAATCAACAGCAACCTTGATGTTTCAGATCCGGATAACGCGCAAAAAGGATTCACGGGCAGTACTGCGGATCCGTCCAGTCATGCTCGCCCAGGGAGCACGTTTTATCGACAATGCTGACCTCGTTGACCTCCGACGTGCTGATGTCCACCTTGGTATCTCCCTTCTGGCAACTGTTATGGCCTCAGATTCTGTGTTTGCCGATGTCACCCTCTTGCGCGCCGTGCTTCTGCCCTCTGTGTCTGACCTTCATCCTCTCTCGCTTGCACCTCGTGGCTGTCCGCTGCTCTTGCTGCTGTTGTATCATACTTTCCCTGAATGAATATCATTAATCATATCTTTTTGTGTGCGAAAATGTGCCCAAGGGTCAGAATGTGTGCTGTTACGACTGACTGTCGAGCGAGTAAGTGGAGACGAGCGAGGCAGGCAGGAGCGCCGACGAGCTCTGATCGCAGTGAGACTGGAGCGGAGCTCAACAGGCAGGACTGGAGACAAGTTGTGTATTGAGCGAAGTATCTACAGAGCGAAATACACGATGGCTTACCTGGAGACAAGAGGTCGAAACTAGAGTCTCCAGGTAGCAAGGGATCCAGCTATATACAGGGAACGAACAATGGGCACTAGAGAACAATAGCGTCGCCATGGGTATGGAGTACAAGGGGTGTAGGACAATAGCGGACGTGGGGACAAAGGGAGCTATTGTCCGTGTGCAGACAAAGGGAAACCATAGCGAGTAGTGAACAATAAGGAAGCGTACGAGGCAATGGTCCGAATCGAAAAGGAA